AAAAGCAATTTGTCCTCAAATGCAATAAATGAATATCCAACAGTGAGAATAAAGAAAGATAGAGAGGGAGGTAAAGAGGGGATCCTGTCTACATGCTTGCTTCATCTGTCGGGGTATCGTTGCCGAATGCATTATCCTGGAATGCGACAATGGTTCTCAGACTATCATTCCTAGCTTCTGCAGCGATGTTACCCGCAACCATTCTGTCCACTTCATGGACTACCAAAAATAAGTCTATGGCCGTGCAGAGTCCACATTTCCATGAGGAATAGTGGGGTCAATGGGGGTTCTCCTGCTGGCACTTACTTTCTTACTCTTTTTTCTTTCTTTGGCCAATTCTTCTATCTTCTCGTATCTTTTAAACTCTCTTGCTCTTAGATGTCGGGGTGGCATGTCCCTTCTCGCAACTTTTGGTCTAGTCATTTCTATAAAGACTTCGAGAAAAGTTAGAGAGTATTTTAAATAGGGGCAGGGGAATTCTGGGTGTAGAATAGCTTCACCAAACTAGTTGGCGAAGTACTCATCCATTTAGGCCATTCGCTGAAAATGATGCACAGAAGGTGCAAGGGTGCGGACAAAAGGCGAACAAGAAGTCTTTTGGTGAGTCGCTGAGTGCGCTTAGCGACATTAGGCTCACCACCAAAAGTTACAGATCAATTAGTACATGTAGCATTCAGTTAAAGGTGGAATGGGGGAGTTAGGTGAACCACCAAGCAATTTGGCGAGTTTGTTCATCTCGCCGAATAGCCAAACGTGTCCATTTTCAACCCATTTCTTTCAAATTTCACCCCGCAACCTAGATAATGAAATTTAGGCTTAAATAACACAATTTCAACGAAAACCCATAGATATTTCACATTTTCCCCCACGTAAAAATTCAACTCAAAGCACAGTCGAATGGGAGTCCCTCAAATCACGCGAAAGCTGCTGAATCATAATCCATAATACATGCAATCCCAGTAACTCAGAGACTCAGCAGAGATTTTATACTATAAATCATCATGTAAATGAGTACAAATTTTGATAAAATAACTGAGGGGTTTGATTACCAACCTTGGTACTGAATTAGATTGTACTGACGTGCTAGGTAGCAATGCAATCCAAATCCGTGCACAATTTGACACTTAAAGTATTTTAAAATGGAAGGAAGTATAAATCTAAAGTGCAGGTGTGAGTTTGATAGGATGAAAAGTGATAGGAAATGAATGAAATAGAACTTTTAAACCTGTGGCTTGCGAAAACCTTCTAGTTTCCGCCCATTCGGCGATGTCAGTCAAGTTCCCCCATTTACTCGGTGAAGCTCCAAGTGTCTAGTTTCTTCGCCAATTGTAACAGGATCTGCAGCTCAAGTGAGGTTTCCAATTGATGATTTTCATTGAGATCGCCGACATGTTCGGCGATACGCCACTAATTTTCTTTAGACCACCGAGGTTTATAGGATCTGAATTGACAGTGCCTTGAGTTAGACAGTGGAAAGAATCGTGCTCGCCGATCTTGTCTACTATCCGCCAACAGGACCTATTGCCTGCCTCCATATACTATTTCAATCTCCTCCCTTACTTTATCCTGTACAAACAACACACCATACTTCTATTAGTAATTAGAAAATAATTACAGGGTTTTGGGTTGCCTCCCAAACAGCACCTGAGTTAACGTCGCAGTACGATGCAAGTCAAAGACTACACTTTATATTCGAAATCACCCATGGTGTAGTTAGGTGAGTCCTCAGCGAATAGTGGGTATTGACCTGTCATCAAATAGCTTATGTGAGCATCTTGCAGCTGAATCGTCATGGAGTTTGTGGTGGTCATTTCATTTAGCATTTCAATGTTGTCTTTAATGTCATTCAACTTCTTGTCCAGTTCTTCGAGTTTTTGCTGAAAGATTGAAAGGGCATCATCTTTTTGCACACCCCCATGCTTCTTTCCATGTTTGCACTCTCGAAGAGAGACGTCCTTCTCCCTCTCCCTGGCTTGTTCTTCCAATCCAATCATCCGTTTAGATAAGACATCCACTTGAGCCACCAGTTTGTCCCATTCATATTTCTTTTGAGTTTCTTTGTTGGCTTTGACCATATTATCAAGTAGTGTTGCAACAACTTCGTAGGGTTGGTTGCGCATTACGCCCTCGAAAATGTGCTCAGTTATGCTTTTATTTTTGTGTTCGAGACCCCGATAGAAGAAATCTAGAAGCATCTTATCATGCATCCCATGAGATGAGCATGTTTGTAATATTGCTGTGAACCGCAGCCACTTTCCTAGAATTGTTTCATCTCCTGCCTATTTGAACGTCAGTAGATTATCCCAGAGGTTCAATAGTTTTAGGAGAGGATGATTTGTCTGATACCCATAGTGATTTTCCATTCTTGTTTCCCTACTTTGATCTTCAGACAAGCAAAACAAAACTACAACTAAGGTTAGTAAGGCTAAACTAAGAAAAACCAAGAATTCTACTTAACTAAGAATTCCCAAATAACACCAGTCCTCGGCAGCGGCACCATTTTGATGCTTATCGTGACCAACGACACTAACCTACGAAATGAGTGTCTACAATCATTGATAATATAGTAACCCAACTAAAGGTTGGGGTCCTTTCCCAAGGGAATGGTTTTGAGAATTAGTAGAAAAATAATATTAAGTTCTAACTAGTTGTAGCTAAAGACATTAACGAGTAAAAATATAGTAAATTAAAGGGGGTGACACAAAAGTATCAAATATCAATTGGGGGTTTTGTCTCAAGTAGTAAAACAGCAAAAACAACAAGAAAATCAAGTGTGGGGACAAGTTCTTGGGGTGTGACTGCAATACAAGTTGAGATAAATCGTTGGGTACATGCTTTCGATAGGAAATTTGCAAGATAATAGTGACTAGTTTAAGCTTTAGATGGAAATAAGTTCCCTCTCGGGCAACTTACCCCGTTTCAAATGCGTTCCTCTCGGACACCCATTTATTGCATGAAGGCCAGCCTACGCCTTACCCCACTCACTCTATCGAGCTAACTGTTAGGATATGGGACTAGCACTCACCCTCTCGGGCTGAATCTCATGTCGACTCACTCCTTAGGCCATCAGTCTAGTGGTCTTCGTTTCGCGACCTCCCTCTTGGGCAAGCCGAAAACACATGGGTGGTTTTGTATTTGCAATTACGAACCCATTAAATTAAACCACAACCACTAGGTGAAATCACCATTAAAATACATCTAACCTGTAAGCAAGCAAGACCCAACAACAATATCAGTACTCTGGCTATAACCAAATCTACATTGCTCTAGAGGATCAAGAGAAAAAACTGTTTACATGCCCATATGGTACTTTTGCTCTCAAACAAAAGCCATTCAAATTGTGTAATGTCCCAGCTATGTTCCAATGTTGCATATTATCCATCTTTGCTGACATGGTAGAAGACTAAATGGAAGTATTTGTGGATGATTTCTCAGTTCCTGGTGACACATTTGCGAAATGCTTAGAGCACTTAGGCCAAGTTCTCTAGAGATGTGTGGAGACCAATTTAGTCCTGAATTGGGAAAAGTGTCATTTCATGGTTAAGGAAGGGATTGTGCTCGATCACAAAGTATCACAAAAGGGGTTGAAAGTCGATAAAACAAAAGTCAAAGTAATTGAGAAATTACCCCCACCAATATCAATAAAGGGAGTTCAGAGTTTTTTGGGACATGGCGGCTTTTATAGGAAGTCCATAAAAGATTTCTCAAAGATTGCACTTCCTCTATGCAAACTTTTGGAAAAAGAGGTGAAATTTCACTTTGATGATGCTTGTATGGTAGCTTTTAACCGCTTGAAAGAAAAACTGATTTCCACTCCAATCATCATTACTCTTGATGGGTCAGAGCTATTTGAAGTAATGTGTGATGCAAGTGGCATGGCATTGGACGTTGTGTTTAGAAAGAAATGAAACAAGCTTTCTCATCCCATTTACTACGCAAGAAAAAACTTAAACATTGTTCAACGTAACTACACAGTTACCGAGCAAGAGCTACTTGCAGTTGTTATGCGTTTGAGAAGTTTCGCGCATACATGCTAGGAACAAAAGTGATTATTCACACTAACCATGAAGCATTGCGTTATTTAATGGAAAAGAAAGATGCCAAACCGAGATTGATAAGGTGGGTGCTTTTATTGCAATAATTCAATTTTGAAGTCAAAGATAGAAGGGGTTGTAAAAATGAAGTGGTAGATCACTTGTTATGATTGGAACGCAGGGAGATTGGTGAGCTGGAGGTCAACATCAAAGATGTCTTTCCTGATGAACAAGTATTCGCGGTAACTCTCGCACAACGTCCTTCGTATGCTGATTTTGCTAATTATTTGGTGTGTGGATTAATGCCAGATGAACTGAACTTCTACATACAAAAGAAGTTCTTGTTCGATGTTAAGAAATACTTGTGGGACCAGCCATATTTATTTAGAGAGTGTGCTGACCACATCATCAAAAGATGTGTTCTGGAAGAAGAGGTTATGAAGATCATGCATGCTTGTCAAGCTTCGCCGGTAGGAGGGCATCATACAAAGTGGGTACTACTGGCTGTCTCTGTACAAAGATGCGTATGAGTTTGTTAAGAGGTGCCCACAATGCCAAAAGCAAAGTGGTGTATCAAAAAGGCCAAAGTTGCCTCTGACGCCCATTTTAGAAGTGGAGTTATTTAATGTATTGGGAATCGATTTTATGGGCCCATTTGTGAGCTCATTTGGGAACAAATACATCTTGGTGGTTGTAGATTATGTGTCCAAATGGGTAGAAGTTGTTGCTCTTCCAAACAACGAGGGATAAACTGTTGTTCAATTCTTGAAGTGCAACATTTTTGCAAGATTTGGGACTCCGTGAGCTATTATTAGCGATGGGGGATCACATTTTTGTAAAAAATGGTTCTCACCCGCATTGAGTAAGTATGGGGTTAAACACAAAGTCGAAACACCGTATCATCCCTAAACAAGTGGCCAAGTTGTAGTTTCAAACCGGGAGATCAAAAGCATTTTAGCTAAGACAATGAATGCAAATAGAACTGACTGGTCTCGAAGATTAGATGACGCACTATGGGCGTATTGCACTGCATACAAAACTCTGATCGATATGTCATCGTATCAGTTAGTTTTTGGGAAAACTTTCCATTTACCAGTCAAGTTGGAACATAAAGCAATGTGGGCATTGAAAGCTCTAAATCTGGACTGGACAAAAACTTCAAAGGAGAGAGTAGAGCAGTTAAACGAGTTGGACGAATTCAGGTTTAAAGCTTACGAAAGTTCAGCTCTCTATAAGGAAAAGATGAAGAAATGGCATGATGTTATAATACTTAAGAGAGAGTTTAAGGTAGGAGACTGGGTGTTATTATACAACTCCCGACTGAGGTCGTTTCCAGGAAAACTCAAATTAAAATGGTCAGGACCATTCTGAGTGACACGAGTATTCCCAAAGGGCACCATAGAAGTTGAGGGGAAAGAAGGACGTGCAATTAAGGTGAATGGGCAGCGTTTGAAGTTATAATTTTGTGAATGCCAGGAGATTTCCTTGATTAAAGTGGTATACCTAGAACATATTTGAAAGCATTTCTACGTCGTGCCACGACGTTAAATAAGGTGCTTCTTAGGAGGCAACCCAAGCATTAGTGTTTTAAATAATGTGTGTTGATCTTGAAGCAGTGGATTTATGAGCGAGACAAAGTACTCTTGGTGAATCGCCGAATCACTTCCACGAGTACAATTCAGTTCACCTTATGGCTTCTAATGAAATGGGCTAAGATTATGGAGCATTTGATGGGACACCTTCACCATTCGGTGTAGAGCCAATTTGTTTTGCTAATCCAAATTTCCTCGCCTTCCCTAGTCAGTACAACTGAAATTCCATATGCGGATCGCCGAACTGTTCAGCGTTTCTCTACATCTTCACCGATCTTCCATCCACAGGAGCGCAGTCTACTGGAACTAAGGGCGATATGACAAACATAAGGTGCATCGCCGAAGAATTCGGCGACCGTTTCACCCCACTGCCAGGGCATTTAGTAAAGATTTCTCATTACCCTGCTTTACTTGTTTACACACTGCATTGCTTTCATTTCTTGATACATTTTATGTCATGTTAAACTTCGGTAATTGTCTGCTCTCTACCAACATTGAGGACAATGTGAACAGTTTTTGTTAGGGGTGTGGATCTTACCCTTCAACCTCTATGAACCCCCTTCTTATTTCAAAGACCCATACTTGTGTTGAAAGAAGCTTTTCTTTTGAAAATTTGTGTATCGGTTTTGGTCAATACTGATGACTTGAATAGTGCTCTTAATCGAACAAACTTGAATGTGCGGCTATGATGAGACCAAATGAAGTTGCATAGACAATATGTGAACTCTTTGCATCTCGTTTTGACTATCCTATTATCGAATCGAGTCTCTTGTGATGACCATTGCACAATAGCGAAAGTGTGGAGTCTTGTTTGACTATAATTCAATAATTTGTCCCGTTGGTCCAGTTGACTAAGTCAGCGAACTCTTGAGATGATCTTAGGAAACTTTAAAGAGTGTGAACCAATTTGACATATACCTCTTTTGTCGCCTACCTTGTGAGTGTGTGAACCTCTTTTGAACACCCCTTGAGCCTTACCTTTCTTTGGATGAAACTTGATGAAAACAAGACCTCTCTTAATTCACTACCTATAATCCTCTTGATTTGTGGTTGATTGAATAGCCAACTTAGGCGTGTGGTGAAAAGATAAGGGCAAGTCAAGCAATGATGAAAAAGTCCTCTTTCCCCATGGTATTGAGAAAAAATGGAATCCCTCCATATAAAAAAAAGAACGAAAAAGAAAAAGAAAAAGTCATGGAATAAAGTTATAAGAAATGTTAAAAGAAACGGGGTTCCGAACAATACATGGATGTGAATATGGGATGATTTAGCGCACTTAAAAAATGATGAAAGAAGAGGAAAGTAAGTGTTGAAAGCACCACATTTCACGAGGATGAAACTCACTAAGCCTAAATGACCATACCTTTGCACTCAACCACATTACAAGCCTTGAAAAGACTATTTTGATCTTGATTGAGTTGAAACAATTGTTGATTGGAAAATACAGGCAAACCTATGGGTGAAAGCATGCATTGTATTCATCTTTGTAAGTGTGAGCGTTGCATTTGATTCCGAAACTTTGAATTGTGAACCATTGTGTGAATATGGAATCATTCTTTGCGTGAGGGAATTTGAACACTTTAGTTGACCTTAAACTTGCATTTTAAGAAAGTATTGTGAGCATGAGATTCTTTGATATTGGTGAGTCACAACTTGAAACTTTGAGAGCACATTTGATCGTCACATGAGTAAATTAAGTCTTGTGTGTGCATTCATGATTGAGTCATGCGTAGCACTGTTTGATACATCCCTTTTGAACTGCCAAACTTAAGTTTTACTTGAGGACAAAAAAAAGTTTAAGTTGGGGGTGTTGATCAGCCCACAATTTGGACTCATTTAGGGATTGTTTTTAATAGGATTTGTGTCCTCAAATGCATATTTTGTCTCAATAACTGATGTAAATACTTGAAATTCAGGTATATGAACTTAGGGACAAAGCATGGACACTATGGAGACAAAAAGGAACAAGGCAGCTGAAAGAACGATGAAAAGAAGGCCTGAGGATCGCTCAAATCATTGGGCGAATGGCCATGGTCTCGCCTGATGTTCTATTGTGCCAAGCCATGGAAGAGGTAACCACATTGGCGATAGAAAAGAGCATTCGGCAAATCACCGAACAACCTTTATACTGCCTAAAGTTACAGAATGTCGGAGATAAACTCAGAATAAATTCAGCGACCGGCATATTTAGTTGGTGTATCACTGATCTATTGGGCGACGGACAATCAAGTTGCCAAAGATTGCTGAGCAAGATCTGAACACATGTTGATGGGAGAGATAATAGAAAAAAAATGTGATTCGTGGATGTGTTAGGCGAACCCGATATGGATCTCCTAAAATTACAGTAGTCTAACCAAGAAAAAGTGAAAAATGAAGGGCGAGAGAAAGAACAATCGGCGCGTTACCAACCTATCGGTGATACCCGAATAACTTCTCCGAATGCTCTATTACTGTCACACATCAGGATTATTTAAATCGACTTTTGAAAAGGAGAATTAATATTCAGAAAGTGAGGAAAGAATTATTGAGAGAGAAAACACTACCATTCTCGTGGCTAGGTTTCTAGTAGAGCAAGGAGTTGAAGACGTGGTGAGTCCTCATAGCATCGAGGATGTGATCACCTTTCCTTTATGTCTTTCTTTTATGCTTTAGTCTTTTGTATGGGTTATGTCCCAAAGATTTATTCAGGTTGTTTTAGTGGTTTGAGACAAAAAATGTTATACACTTCCGCTTGCTTTTATAAAAGACTTCGATTATATGGAAAAAGTTTTAAAATTTCCGCATCATTTCTATTGCTTTATGTTATAATATGCTAAGTGACTTACATTGAGTCCTTTGGGGTTCTATGTGCCATGTTACATCTAAGGTGTACTCTGGGTCGTCAAACATTTCAAGTCCAAGTCCAAAATTTTCATAGAAGGCAAAAATGGAAGTCTAGACTCTAAGTCTCAACATAGACATCTATAAAATCTATAACAATAGTTAACATGAAAGGGGCACAACCCATATAACATAGTCTGAAAGAAGAAATACTACAAATAAAACTACAAGTGAAACATCCTTTATCGAATCATGAGTACTCACCTCAAACTAAGAGAATAGTTGAATCCAAGCTTTAGCTCCAATGATGACCGCCTTAAGAACTGGAACCTACACATGGGAAAAGTATAGGAAAAGTAGGCGTTAGTACAAAAATGCACTAAGTATGATAGTCATAAAAAAATTGAAATCATGCTAAAAGGGACATTTTAGTTGAAAACATGCACTTTATCAAGTTTAAGGATCATCATGAAAGTTAGTGTAAAAGCATAAGTCATAACCATAGTCAACATATAGACTATCACAATACCATAGGTACCCTCAAAGCACAGTTGTGCAATCCATGAATAAGACCCCATGAATCCCACCCATGCTAAGTAAAGCTATTTGAGTAGCCATAGTTCATAATTCATATTCCTGTTCATAACATTGTTGTGGGGAATAAGCTTTATCCAACATAGACCATGTGAGCTAAACATGGAATCTGATGACTCCCACAACGAAAAGGGTTGGTCTACTTACCTAAGGTGTAACCAACAACTCTTATCTTAGGTGGATCCACTAGCTAAAGACCTATAAGGGTGCATATTTTATGGGATAAGGTGATTGATACTAGAATCCCGACCTTTACTAAAGTGAGGGCTTCCATTCCCAAGAAATTGCTTCTAGAAACCCGACCTCTACTATCTTGAGAGCTCCCATCTCATATGAATATCCACTCGGTGCTAAGCAATAATTTCCACGCATTTCATATAAGGTCTTGACTTAAGTTCCTATTTATGGAAGAATGTCTTGACACTTAATCCAACATAATTCATAAGATACCACATAGATTCAATAGGTGAGAATAGCCTTTCAACCTTAGAATCATCATATTGTGAGAAAACCATTCACATCATATCATATTCATACATAGGTGTGTAAATGAGAATAATCTTTCACCAAAACACAATAAGATCATAATCATAATCATAATCACTTTACTCTCAAAGTGTTCTTAAAGCTTATACATAAATCTCATAATCATACATAATTCTCATATCTTACCCTTTATAGATCCCAGATCTCATTCAATCAACACATCTAGGATGCACACCATTAGACATGGATATAATCATAATTCAACTAACCCAATTACTACATACATAATTACACAACATACTTCTATCATCAACAAACCCACATCACAAAACCATAATTGAGAATTATGGGGGTTTCATGAGTTCTTGGGCGATTCAACATAAAAACCATAAGAAATCATCAATTCATACATAATATATCATAATTCAATCATTAGAAACGTTTTTGAAAGGAACCCATGAGTTTGAAGTCAAACCCTAACTTTTGGGGAATTACTAGTTTTGAAATTGAATTAGGAGGGACTCCATGGATGAACTTTATCCATGGATGAAGGACTACTATACCAAAGCAATGGAATCCAATTAATTTGGTGAGAAGTACTTGCTTCTTGAACCCCAACTTCCTTCTTCTTCTTCCTTGAAGTTCTAGAGAGAGAATATTTGAGAGAATGAATTTTGGAATTTTATTTGAGGTTTTGGAAATAATGGGGTGAATGGGTGTATTTTGACATAAAATGACTTATATAGTGACCTTATACTCACCCAAAACGACTTCACTTTGATTGGAATTAAACCGGAAAAGACCCATTTAACCCTCAACATAACTGACCTGCCCAAGTGCCATGAGGGGCTCCACAAGCTGTGGTCATGACCACGAGTTGTGGTCCCCTCCGTGGACTTGAGGCAGTGGCTAGGTAACATGCTCCCTTAGCCCACAAGCCCAACAATCTCATGAGGGGCTCCACGAGCCATGGTGCTTGAGACGAGAACATTCTCTCAACCCTCACACCACCAAGTCCCTCCCACGAGCCATCCCCCGATCTGTGGTCTTCACCACGAGTCATGAAGTGGCATGTGAAGAGGAGCAACTTTTGGGAAGATTTTAGGGAGATTATTGCCTAGCCCTCCACGGGTGGGACCACATTGCGTAGTGGCCACCACGGGTCGTGAAGACCCTCGTGGAAGTGGGGGCAGTTCCTTGGCCAACTCTTGGGCAGCCTTGGGCCCTTGCCTTGTCTCTTGCCTATTTCCCTTGGCTATAGCCCT